ACACACACACACACACACACACACACCTGCTTTTAGATTTCATAGTTTACTGATGCTTCACACTTGCATAGTATCTTTTATAGGAAATTGTCAAAGTGGTAGACACATTAGACCACATGGATCACTGCAAAGTATTGAACACGTAGTTACTGGAGCCTAGCATCCCAACAACATAGAAACTTAAAGCCTGCTTCATCACAAAGTTGTCACCATTTGAAATAAATTCTCTTTAAACCCTTTTTGTAAACAGTTGATGCAAGTTGTTTCCTTACCAAATTAAGCATAATCAGCATAAACAGGCTTAAATAGATTTCAGGGTGTTCACACAGTTTAGGCTAGTTTACCTAAATTGATTTAGAAACACACCTTTAATTAAGCTAGTACAAAGCCTTAGAAAATCAATACCACATTATGTTCTATGATGGGCTTTAGTGAGCTTCCATTATCTAAAAGCCCTTTGAAAAGCCAAGGCTAATAATTGTGATCTTTTTAAAGTCACTCTAGTTTCTGCCATAAATGGTATCAGGAAATAAATTGATAAAAATCTCTGTGTGTAGCTTTACTTCTAAAGCCAGAGCTACACCCCTTTTTGTACCAACTTTACTATTTCTGGCAGGGGAGTTATTTTACATTGATACAATTAATTTGGTACAATCGCTAGTTTGGATCCAGTTATGTCATGTAAAGATTTACCAGTTTCCAGTGCAACTGCTTTTATGCTAGGGATTTAATTAGGTCACTTGTATGACTTTAAATCAACACAGTTAAAGCAATAACAGTAATGTATGTACAAGCCCAAGAGGCTTATTGTGGTTAAGAATATCCAGCATATTTAGCAAAAATGTTATTAACATGTTATCTTTAGCATCAGTTATTACCTAGGGTTGACAAGGCAATGATATTTAAAATGTGTTATTTTGTTATGGTCAACCCTAGATGTCCCCTTTGCAGTACTAAGTTCTAACATGATTGCCCTGTAACAAAAAAGAAGCAGCAGATTTGGAGAAAGTTTAGAAATGGGCACTGAGAATGATTATGATTAACTTCCATATGTAAGGAGATTTAAAGATATAAAGATTTGGGACTGTTTACCTTCAGAAGGAGGCATGGATATGAAAATTATACAAGAAATGAATGTAAAGAATAGGTGGTAGAAAGTTTCTGGTCACCTTTTTACATAAGAAATAATCGCACCTTTTTACATTACAGAAATGTTCAGGTAAATTGGAAGATATCAAATTCAGATTCACAAGATACAGAAGTTAGAAAATGCTTTTTCACTCAATGTCCAGTTTTCTTGTGGAACTCACAAGATATTACTGAGGCCACAAAAGTTTCAAAGAAGAATTACAGAGGTCTAGGTTTTAGCCATGTTGGTCTAAGGACATAAGCAGACAAGGTTCTTTGGGTAAATCTGATATCTTTTATTAGACCAACTAAATAGTTGGAAACTTTTTTCCTAGCAAGCTTTTGGATTTAAAGAAAGAAGAATTAAACATTTGTGAGGGTAACAAAAATATCCAACATTATAGCAGGACAGGAAGTATTTTTTTAAAATAAAACCAAGACAAGTTAAAAATCTTTAAGCTTCAGGAGATAACCCCATTTCCACGGGAAACTTTCTCTTCAGGCCATGTTATCATGTAACTTGGTACTGTAGACTTTCTCTTCTGAAGCATCTACACAGGTCACTGTTGAAAAATTAACAGAAAGAATACAGAACTACAGATCCTAGTCTTACGCATTATCACAAAACCTGGGGGTTTGTTTACACCGTGACAAAACATGTCTGGCATAAATGCTCCTCTCACTCCTGCTGATCAGCTCCAAATCTAAAAATATATTGGCTAGGTCATTATACTGGAGGCTGAGGAACAGCTATAGCGGGATACCCCCGAGCAACCTCACCAGCCTGTTCCTGGGTTAAGAGCATAGAAGTGGAAGCAGATAGGTGGGGCATGTCTATGGGTGTCCATGCAATGACATGCTGCCACCCCAGCAGAAACATATCTTGTGTTTCTCTTAAATATTAGAGCTTACAAATAGGACTACTTTCTTTCCCAATCTTTTTATCATTCCCTTCCAGGCAAATTTTTCTTTCTCTTTGTTCTCTGTTGGAACACACCTGTTGCCAGCATGCATTTTTAAAGTGCTGTACATCTAGGACTCTCTGAAATCCTGAAAACAAGAGGAAAAATAAGTATTTTTTGTTGTTATTGTTGTTAAGCTCATATAGCCATTGAAAGGACCCAGCTGGTACCATTTTTCTACATGCGGTCATTATGACAGAAACAGCCTCCGTCTCACCTCCAAGCTGCACACTCTTAGCATAGCTTTTTCCCACAAGTTTTAGTTCATGTTCTGCAGCACCAGCTGAGTCAGTCAATTGCCACAATCAGTTCAGGTTATTTTCTATCCCACGGGATGCAATTTACAAACAAAACAAAAAAACACTGGAACATTGGGTGGGAACAGGGAGTTTGGGTAGCACTGCGAATACATTAAGAACAGCAGCAGAAGCTGCATCTTCCAGTGTCTGAAGAGGCCATCTGGGGGGTTTTTTCACTTGCTTTCTCCCCCTTTTTTATTATGGTGATGACAAAAATAATCCATAAGAAAAGTATGTAGATGGGTGTAAAATAGTGGGAATTTGTCTCATTGTGCAAATCGTACCAGAAAGTGCAGGAAATATTTATCTTTGAAAACCATTGCTTGGATTTTTAATCTGTGTGGTTTAGTTTCTATATTATTAACATTTTATTAATATTATTAACCTAATAAGTTAAGGTGTGGATAAATAGATATTTTTCCAGCTTTGTACTTATCATATTATTTTTGTGGAATTACTCACCTGCTTTAGCTGAGTTTTTCTTTTCCTTTAATTCGTGTGAATCATGAAGCATGTTGTCTAACAGCCTTTTTTTTTAAAATCTCTGACTCTCTGAGACAAGGTGTATGTTTGAAGCTTATAATAGCATAAAATATCAGATTATTTTTTCCACAGCTACAGCTACAGCTACAGCAGAACAAGCCCTATTGCAGACACAAGGTATGGTGGTATAAGGGTGTTCTATATGGCAACAGCTGATCTAGACATAAGCACCATTATACTGTGTCCATACCTGAGCTGGTCAGAAATATTCCAGCGAAACTTTTGTTTCATTGGACAGTGCCAATTCACTGAGGCCAAAATGTCTCTTTCAATTTTCATGGAACCAAACCTACCTGAATTCCTGGTGGACTGCCCCAAGGCTGCAGACCCAAAACTTCCAGGGTCTGTGGATTTGCAGTGACACCAAAGTCTCCTGAGTCTTAGAATCTAAAGGCAGTCTACGTGGCAGGTCTCTCTCAGAGCTGGGGTCCCTGGGATTTTTGTAGCACCAGTGAAAATAAGAACTATCTTATGGGAACTTTGACCTTGTGGACAAAACCCAAAGACCAAATTTCTCAGAAATCAAAACCCCTGCTTTTGTCCAGCACTGATCCACACAAGAGTCGTCGTACTGCTTTAACTGTACCCATATAGTTAAATCAGTACAACTTTGCAGTGTAGACAAGGCCTAATTCTTGTTCAATTTTTAATGTTTTAATGACTGCCCACAGCAGAGTAGGTTGTTTCCAACATTTGGGGTGCAATAAAAATCTGTTATCCACAAGTTTCAATTTAAATGTAGTTGATAAGAATTTGTTTTATCCAGTTTGTTTTCAGTTCAGGGATCGAACAGTCCTTCATCTTGCTGAATTTCGATCATCTTTGCAGCCAACTTTGTGTTCAGTGCACATAGCAGGACAGATTTTGCTAACTTCATATGTATTTTCTTTTGTAAACAGTATTCATGGGTGTGTGTATGCATGTGCATGCAAGCAGTGATGAGCACTTCCAAGTTCTCCATATCCTGTGCATTATTCATAACACATTGCTTGCCATGGTCCCCTGCTTAACTGTTCCCTCCCCTCACATATTTTTTCTGCTACAATTTAAGAAAAGCTTATATGAATATACCTGCAGCTTCCTTCTCCTGATTTCTATATAAGCAGTTTTCATAAGAATTATTTTTAAGAGCGAGTTGTATGTCTAGACAAGTCACTGGCATCATTACTTATCTATGTCCCTGCCCTGGAGAGTTTCCTGCCCAGGGAATCCAGTTCTAGCCTTTTCAAGGTGTTCTCTGTCTCTCTCTGATTATGTAAGTGATCAGGGATAAATGCCTGCATCTTTAGGGCTTCTTTCAAACAGGGCTGTCTCCTGCCTCCAGTGTTGTGACATGAGTACCTTTTCATTTAGTCACACTGTATTACTATTCACCCAGGTTTTGTACCAGCAGAAGACACCTCCAGTTCTTCTTAACTGAGTGGCTTCAGTGCTCTCAACAAATGGAGAATCTTTAAATGTAAGGTTGCTCACTGATAACATTTAGTGTTTTCCAGTTTTTTTCTTAATCCAGTTTTATCAGGACTGGGTCTCCTTGTTAAGATGCTAAATGCTTTAGGCTGTAATCTGATGCTCAGAGGTGAAAGCCTGGTATCTCTTAAATTTAGCTGCCCTCCTCCTCACCTTCTTTGAAGCAGGGTCACTTAGAATTAAGATTTACCGGCAAGATTGACAGTGCTAATCCACTCCTCTACTGCATAAAAGTCCTGAAATGCCAATCTTGACTGATAAATCTGGATACAGAACGGAGTTGTGTAGCATCCCTAGAGGCTATTTTAATTAATTCTCATTCCTGAAATGACTTTGGTGGATGTGCTGTGTAGTATTCATTAGAATCTTACTGCATGCATGAGGAAGTGCTGGCATTTATGGGATGCTTTTTCTCAGTTGTTGCTGTTTTTAACAACAGAAGCAGTGTGTTGTCTGTTACTGATCTCAAAGTTATCAATCTCTTATGCTGATATACTCACAACTTAGTCCTTTTGGGTACGTGCAAATGTTTACTGCACCTAATCTATGAAATGCGGCTTACTTTAAGCCATGTGATTGTAGATAGGGAATGGTTTGTACACATGTTTGCAAGTGCTGGGAGGTGTGCCAGGAACCCAGTGTCAGTAATTTGAGTAAAGGGGGTGGGTAGGATCAAGGCAGGCTAGCAGGTCCATTTGGTTGGGTGTTGGGATCAGGGAGGGGGCTCAGGTCTGTGGGAAGGCAGTGGGGGTTAATGGGTCTGTGCGGGGAATAGTCCATCCACAGGTGGGAGGAATGTAGGGATAAAAAATAGCCTCATCAGGGGAGGGGTGGAGGTAAAAAGAGGACAGCCTCAGGGCTGGGGAGACAGGCTGAGCTTTCCTAGCCTTGGGACTACCCTCCAAACTTGTGCAGGCATTCACTAAATCAGGCTAATCTGTTCCCCATTTAACTTAGTTCACCTCCTCAGATGAACCAACTTAAATCAGGCTGGCCATTTTTTGCCTGATTTAACCTCCCCGGACATCTGTGCAGATCAACACTAAATATAACATCTGCATGTACCCACAGTATTTGGGTATAGCTGGTCTCACATGTAAAATCCAGCTGGTATAATTTGCCTCAGGTTCTTCTGCTTTCTCCCCCATTCGGTTATTAATCTGTTTTAAGTACCTGAGTGGTAGCATTTCACCTGTCACTGATTTTTTTTGGACATGTTTTTACCCCTGTGCTCTGTTAAAAACATGAATTGGGTTTTTTTTCTCTTATGTCTTCCTTTATTTCTGTCAAGCAGCGTCAGCAACATTCAAAATTGGTTTTAGTCTTCCTGTCTCATGCTTGAAATTCCCCTAATATAAAATGGTATCTGTGGTCACTTATATTCTTGCAAAGGTCTGCAGAATCATGTTCAATTTCCTCAGGAAGATTTTAGGACCCTTATGATGCTCAACAGTAGGCAACTGAAGACATATTTTCCAAGTGGCATTATGAAAGTTGCTGATGTGTCACTGAGCAGAACTTTTGAAATCCAGTAATTTCATCTAAGTAATTAACATGTGGATGGTATCTTCTGTAGTGGAGAACAAACCTCTTCCTTCTCACTGCTTCTCCAAGCTCTCTAGGTCTACATAGATACAGATATTGGCTTTTATTTCTTTACCTTTAACAAGCACTAAAGACATACCACTTTACTACTTCACTATATTACACTGTTCTTCTCTAGCCTATCTAGTTCTTCCTTTGCATTGGGAAGGAATCAGTCTTCAAACTGGGCTCCATATAATAGCTCCTCTAAAAAATAGCTCTCACATTGGTTCTCTTTAAGCAGGTTGACTTTTATTGAACCACCATTTTATTTGCCTTTCTATGTTTTATTCATTAATATCAAATCCATGATCCATGACTTTGAGACTAGCATAGGCTTTGTATTTACTTAGAAACCTGTGTGTCTTCTAGAACTAATGATTACTATCTTAAGAAATAGAATAATACCATAATATTTATTTTCACTTATGATATGACTCTCCAGGGGAAAAATATGCAGAGCAGCCTTCCCACTCATTATTTCAACGTTTAGGTAAAACTTCATAAATGCTAATGACACACAGCTTTAAATGGAAAAAATGTTTTATGAAAATTGCCGAATGTATGCTCTGTATTTGCACCAGACTGATGTATTAATTATTCAAATAAGGCATTGAATATTTGATTAGAGCCTTTCTTCGCTTCCTGTATTTTTTTTTTAACTGCTGACTTTTCATACTTTTCCCACAGCACCTGCAAAAATGAGTCGGTCCGATTTTATGTTCCCAGCTGAAACATTGTACTTTAACGTGCATGATATTATTCATTACTTCTTACTCTGTGTAAATCTCATCACTTACTTTATATTTTATTATTGCCCTTTAAATGGACATAAAAATCATTCATGTATTTACTCCATTCTAAATTATGCAAATGATCCTAAATGTAATTATAATATATTCATTATTGATTATAAAAATGTCCTCTGTATTTTATATGGATTATATGTATTCACTAGAAATAATTAGGCATTTTAGTCCATTCCCAGTTTCATGACCTAAGCATTACTCCTGGCTGGTTAGAAAGCTAGAGGAATGCATGTTAAATCAAATTACCATAATTTAGCTGTAAAAAGAGCTCTATTTTAGCAGTGCTTTATCTGTTATATATATATATATATATATATATATATATATATCCATATGATACATTTGATTGAAAGAAGTTAAAGTAACCTTGGTAAGTTTGTCATGGTTGACTAGGTATTCTTTTCCACAACCTTGTCACCTTATGTTCCTTTTGAAGCACTATTGTAACTGGCATACGCTATGTATTTTTGCATTTCCTTCCATGCTCGAGCAATCGGAGGTTTTCCAGCATAACACTGTTCCATTAGAAAATTCTGATTCAAAGTAATGGAGATGTTCTGTTGGAAGTTGCAAATCAATTCATTAAAAAAAAAATAGGTGAGAAAATAGGCTGGCTGTCTAGGCTGCCTGCCTACTGATCTAGTTTCCTTTTGGTCTGTCTGATCAGTCCCCCAGCTTCTGCCTATTCCAGCTCCATGAAATGGGCTGTCTGTAGAGCCCAGGAAGCAGCACACTAAGTCAGGTGGGCAGGCAGAGAGGTGATGTGGCCCTAAAACAAGGGAGCATGTTTTGTTTTGAAAACACCATAATGAAAAGGTTTCCAGCTTTCCAAATGAAAGATTTTGGGATTTCTGCCCTGCGAAAATTTTTATTTTTATTTCCAGCCCAATTTAGGCCAGAAAAGAGCCTGAAAATTCAACATTTTTTGTAGGACAGAAATTTCTAGCCAACTCTAGTGAAATGATAAAATAATTACCAGAGATTAGTCCAACTACACATTGATATCAAAACTCAATCATTTTGAAATATTCTGACCTAGAACTTAATTAAGAGTGATTAAGGAAAGTAGTTAAGTATGGGCTTGGGTCCCACTGACATGCTTCCATAAATAAGGATTCTTCCCTAAATTCAGATTTCTTATATAACCCATGGAAAGCTTCTACCATTGCTCTAACTGAACAGAGCCTAAAGGCCTTTGTATGCTGTGACCCCAAATTAACTCCTTTTATAGGAGCAAGAGAGGCTGAGTTCCTA